ATTTATAATATATATATTAAATATATAAAATATGTCTATATACATTTTTTCCCGAGGATTTCTTTTTCTTTTTCTCTTTTTCGCTCTTGTATTGAATCTCTAAATATTTAATTAACGAGGATTTATGCAAGTCATTCAAGTTTGTCGTGTGTAAATAAATTGGATGAAATATATTTAAAAAACGATTGATTCGACCAAGACATGACTGAAATTTATTTACGTTTTATGTATGGGAGTACTATACAAGTGTAATGTACACTGAATCAAAACTGTATGTAAATACAATAAAATATTCATTGAATTATGAAAAAATAATGAAAATTGTTCCAATCAATTCTCATAATATTGGGAGTACAAATTAGTTCGGTCCGTTTCCCTAAAGATAGCTCCAGCTGTTGTGAATGGTTCATAATGACAGCTGATTTTGGCGGTTTCAGAGAGGTTAAATTATCTGCTAATAATATTCAGTTTATATCGCTTTGAGTTTCATACAAAAACCTTGATTTTTACTATGTTTGAAATGTCGAATTTTGTTAACCAAGCAGCATTTGCGGGAGATTTTGATTTTTTGTTTTAATTGAAAGAAAAGTGCGGCTGAAGTCCATCGAATGCTTGTCGAAGTTTATGATGACACTGCTCCAACTGATAAATCATGTAGGGAATGGTTTTGGGACGTTTCAAGGATGGAGATTTCAGCGTTGAAGACAGAGTCTCGCTCTGGACAGCCAAAAAAATTCGAAGACAAAGAATTAGATGCATTACTCGAAGAAGATCAGAGTCAAACGCAAGAGGAGCTTGCAGAATCATTGGGGACAATTCAACAAGCCGTTTCTATACGATTGAGAGTCATGAGAATGAAAACAAGGAAATTGGGTGCCTTATGAATTGAAACCAAGAGACATTGAAAGGCGATTTTTCACTTGCGAACAGCTGATTTAAAGACAACAGAGAAAAGGTTTTTTGCATCGGATTGTGACTGAAGATGAGAAGGATATTCTACAATTCTAAGAAGAAAAAATACTATGCTAAACCCGGTCAATCGTCCGCATCACCATCGACCTCAACATCAACACCACGGCCGAACATTAATGGTTCGAAGATCATGCTCTGTATCTGGTGGAACCAAAACGGTCTTGTTTACTATGAGCTGCTGAAACTTGGCGATTCCATTACGAACGATCGGTATCGGCTACAATTGATTCGTTTGAGCCGTGCATTGCGAGAAAAAACGGCCAAAATACGCAAAGACGTTATGAAGTTATTCTTCTTCATGACAACGCTCGGCCTCATGTCGCTAAAGTAAAAAAATATTTGGAAACGCTCAAATGGGATGTTTTACCGCACCCGCCGTATTCTCCGGACATTGCTTCTTCTGATTACTGATTGTTCCGAAGGATACAGCAAGTCATCAGTTCACTTCTTTCGCAGAAATCGAAAATTGGCTCCAAAATTGGATCGCCTCCAAAGACGAGTCATTTTTTCGAGATGGAATTCGAAAATTGCCTGAGAGATGGGAAAAAGCAGTAGGCAGCGATGGACAATACTTTAATTGATCTGTTCATTCATTTTATTTTGAAATAAATGCACAAAAAAACGGACCGAACTAATTTGTTAA